AGCCTTCAAAACTCTTGGGGTTTATTTTCATTTTCCTTCATTTCATGCATGCTGCTGCTTACATAAGTCATGGTTCAGTCGCCGCTTAGTTGATTGATATAGTCACTCTTAGGAAAAAAAAAACTGCCATTCAATATGTTTGAATTCGAATATTAATATGATAAATTCAACTTTTTTTAATAAGAAAGATTGAAAATTGGGTGTACTGGGAATGTAAGTTGAGGGATTAATGGAGACCATTTGCTCACAGTTGCAGATAGGCAAAGACGCACTACCACAAAAGCTAAGGTCCTCCCTGCAAAATACCAGTACCTGAAGGTCATATATCTATCATTCACACAATAAAAGATGGTTGCAGCTAACACATAATGATTTTCTCGTAATCTTATATGATACGATCATAAATTAAAAAACGAAATAATAATAAAAGAATTTAAATACATGAATTATCAATGTGGAAGATTGATTTTCTGTCCTTAAAAACCCATGTTTTGGTGCATAATATTTTCCCACTCATTTGTGTCTCACTCACCGTTTACTCTTCCTGTCTGTCCCACTTTGAATTTCGGGAGAAGAGAAGCCAAATTTAATAATACAAAGTAGAGCTCTTTTTTTTCATCTTTCAATTTTTTTTTTGCAAAAATCATTATGCATCTTTATACTTTCAGAAAAAATATCACATTTAATATGATCATTCAACTCATAAAATAAATCTGATATAGTCTTTTAACTAATATTTTTCTGTCATTGACTGTTGAAGTACTGATGTGATAGTTTACTATGCTAACATGATGATTTACGATACTGACATGTTTGAGTTATCAATTTAACTCATTTATCATGTCATCTGTCATGTTATCAACCATTGTGAATTGTCATGTCAATATTTTAGACCGTCGCTTTAGTACACTGAACTGTCTTATCATCATAATAACGGTTAACGATAAAAAATGTTAGTAAAATGATCATATTAGATTTATTTTCTAAATTGGATGACAAAAAAAAATAATACAATGATCATATTCGTCTTTTTAAAATACAATGATCTCATATATATATATATATATATATATATATATGTGTGTGTGTGTGATTTTATAATCCAAACATCATTCTTGATTATAGAGCTTCTTTTCTTTGTTCGAGTCGCCACGGTGACCGAACACGACAACACACATTGCGCACACGAGCACCGAGGTTGTAGGCAATCGCGAGGCCAAGGCAGCAAGGCATGGCATGGCTTAGCTCTTCAATTTCCAATGCCATTAATTAGCGAAGCCATTAGTTGCTGGTCTTCAAGAAGGATAATGAAACTTGAATAAATTTGTATCCAATTAGTCGAATATATATATATATATATATATATTTCGAATATGATCGGTTGGTTCGGATTCGGATCAGATCTCGTATCGGCTCCATCTCTGTCGCGGCAATCAGCATGGTGGATATTGAGGGGCCATAGCCACAGTAGAGCACCAATTAAAATAAAAAGAAGCAGTGGAAGGGGAAGACAAGATTCCTGGTAACAAGGGGGGCATCTAAAGGATGGTCTAAACAAGATATAAATGGTCCACTTTGTCTGCCCTACGTGCATACTTCTGTTATTATTATTCCTTTCGCGTTCACTTCCAATTCTTTATTTGATAAATTATGTGTATATTATATAAACTATCAATTTTGGTTCGTTTTAATATTTTATTTTTTTATTTTTTTTAAATTATATCTAACTTTTAGTTTTTGTTTCATTTTAGTATCATGTTATTAAAAACTTAGCAGAACTGTTACAATGTAAAATCTTATATGGGTAAATTACGTCATTTATCACTCAATTTTCTTCTCATTCTTATTTTGGTCATTAAAGTTTTTTATTTAAATATTTAACTTTCAAATTACTCCTAATTTATTCACTCTAACTTTAATTTTTTTATTTTAATTATATATTATTAAAATAATAAAAATATTATGTCATGAAATATTATTAATAAAATAAATTCGAGTAATTAAAACATAAGCAATTTGAAAGTTGAGTAGTTAAATTGAAAAATTTTAAACTTTAATGTCAAAAATAGAAGTGAGAAGATAATTAAGTGATGAATGTTATAATTTACCCATAAAAGTGTCACATGCAAAAGCTAGTTCACTTTTTAATGACGAAATATTAAAATAAAACAAAAACTAAATATCATCTATGATTTTAAAAGAATTAAAAATTTAAATACTAAAATAAATTAAATTAATTTAAATACTAAAATAAACTAAAGTTAATAATATAAGTACTAAATGCATACTTAATTCATTCTTTATTTATTGGTGAAAACATATAAAGTGATTATTTTAGTCATTTAATTTTTTAAAATATTAATAATTGTTAAATTCAATAATTCATTTATACGATTGTCTCAACTCGATATAGATATGACTCATGATTATCGAACACTGAAAGATTTCATATATATATATATATATATATATATATATGAACTACTTGTTGAATGAGTGAAAATAGATGTCTAGTAATCTAAACTTTCATTTTTTTCAGTAAATATATTCATAATTCTTATTTTTAATCTCAGTCATCTATTTTTACTCATCTAATGATTTTAAATATGTGTAAAACTAAGAGTTTTTTTACGGTTACGATCCACTTATACAATGTAAAAGTTTTTAGTTTTACACATATTTAGGAGTGAAAATAGATGTCTAGTCATCTAAACTTTCGTTTTTTTTCAGTAAATATATTCATAATTCTTATTTTTAATCTCAGTCATCTATTTTTACTCATCTAATGATTTTAATATGTGTAAAGCTAAGAGTTTTTTTACGGTTACGATCCACTTATACAATGTAAATTTTTTTAGTTTTACACATATTTAGGAGTGAAAATAGATGTCTAGTCATCTAAACTTTCGTTTTTTTCAGTAAATATATTCATAATTCTTATTTTTAATCTCAGTCATCTATTTTCACTCATCTAATGATTTTAAATATGTGTAAAGCTAAGAGTTTTTTTACGGTTATGATCCACTTATATAATGTAAAAGTTTTTAATTTTACACATATTTAGAACCGTTAAATGAGTGAAAATAAATTACTATGATTGACTCCTTTTTTTATAAATATTTTTACATTTCTTACTTTTAATCTCAACCATCTATTTATACTCATCCAACGACCTTAACTCTATATAAAATTATAAGAGTTTTAGATGTGTAATAAGATCTTATATATATATATATATATATATATATATATATTAAAATGGAAAGAAAAGGGGCAGTGGCCATGGGAAAAGGAAGAAGGAAACAGACATCCCTTTCACTTGCTTTATATCGTCTCCCTTTTTTATATACTGAAGTGCCCATGAACTCGTGTAGCTGCATCAGGGAACATACCCTATGTCCCCCTTAATTAAATTAAACTAATTTTCTCTTTTTCTTTTGAATATAGAACTATAGAAACCCTTCACGTTTAACCCCAACATACATAGGTTAAAGACATAAAGAGCATGGGACAAACTTTAAAGAATTGAAACACAATATAAAATCTGTCCTTTTGATACCAAATCAAATCTAAATACAATCGGAGTAGAAGGGACGAATATCAAAGATGAAATTATGGGAGAGGTCAAATTGTTTAGTATTAAAATTAAAGTACTTCAAAATATAATTAATTCATATCGATTTACGTTGCAAATATGATTTTAGTTGATAAATTTTTCGGTATAAATTTTTTGTGTACACAAAGATTTAAACTCGAAATATACTAAAACGTTATAAAACTGTTTACTATTTGAATAAGTCTAGTTGACGACATGACTCCCTCTTTAGTGGTAATGGCTTTGGCCCCAAAACTGGTAAATTATGATTTTAGTCCATTAGAGATATAAAGTTTTCAGTTTAGATAATGCAAAAAATTATATTTCATCTCCCGTAAATGATAAATTATATCTTTAATTTAAATCTCATCGATGTTTATTTTTACGTAGGTTTTCATCACACCCCTTTATATAAGTTCATGTCTTCAAATAAATATTTTTATTAAATTAAATTTTATATTCAATTATGCAATAATAACTACTTCTGATTGATCATAATTAGTTATATACCATTCTACTTTTCAAAAAATAGAACTTATACGATACCTAAAATGAACGATGTAATGTTTATTTACTTGTAAAAATAGATAATTAATACATATTTTTATTTTTATTTAAATACTTAAAATCTTCTTCTTCTTTTTTCATATTTTAACAAGATTGATATGCTCAACAAGTAGATAAATCTAGGCAAAAAGGCATAGGTTTTTGTACTTTAAAAAATACCTAATGTGACTTTAGTATTATTTTTTCAACGTGGGCCTCCAACTCTAAAAAATAAATTTGATGTGATATTTTGATCAACGTTTTTATGTCGTTGATTGTTACATAATTGATATAGCAGTTCACGGTGTTGATGTGACAGTCAATGGTTACATATTAGCGGATGATATGACAGATTGACTAAATTTGTAACTCAAATATGGTAAATTAACTGTAACATCATCATCGTGGACTGTCATGTAAGTATTGTGAACTAACACGTTAGTACAGTAAGGGTTAACAACGAAAAATATTTTGGTAAAGGATCATATTAAATTTATTTTTTGAGTTGGATAAAAGAAAAAATAATATGAGGGGCACGTTTATTTTTTCTAAAAAATACAAGGATCTCATGTTTATTTTTGCCATACATCTATAAAATGGACTACTAGGAATACTAACATCAAAAGTAGGATGTCAAACTTGATAATGACACAACCCCACAAATCATTCGACATATTGCCACGTGTACGGTTCGATTCTTCATCACCCCAAATCACAAGGAGGATCATCATATCATCATACAATAAAACGGCTTCGCTGGTAAATTCATGTTTTCCATATGAGGTAACAATCGGCATTTATAGCAACCTTCGTCTTGGAAACTATATGTATAGCAAAAACTAAAAAAAAAATTAGTCTTTGCCTCTTCTCCTCCTTTGCAACTCTCTAGTTTCTACTACGAAGAACACCACTTTTTGGGAGATGGAAAACAACAAACATACAAACATATACTGTGTTTACTCGGGTTTTTAACTCTAAAAAACACTCCTTTTATCAAATCCAAGGAAGGTTCTTGTTTTTTAGCCTTTTTGTTTTGTTTTTGCAAGCTGGGTGCTGTTTCTCGTCTCCGAGACAGTCATGGCGGAGGCTGGACCGGTTCAATTCCCTGGAAATTACCTGGACCCATCTGCACAGGAATTTTGGCCCGCCCAAAACGCTGTTTTCCAACCCCAAATACCTCTCTTAATGCCATCGGAGCTTTACTATCCGTACGCTGCCGCGCCACCCTTGACGGTGTCCTTTTCCGGTGGCGGAGTAGCACAGTTCCATGTTGGGGTACCTGTGCCCTTACCTGCACCTTGCGTTACGGGTTCCGTGACGGTTTCACCTTTGCCGCCTCTTCCGCCTCCAAGTGCGGCGTCGGCGAGGGCTTTGGTGTTGACGTCGGTTCCGTGCGATGTGAGCGAGTCTAGGGTGAGGGAAGAATTGGAGGCGTTCGGGGAAGTACGCATGGTCCAGATGGAAAGGGTCGGGGAAGGAATCATGACCGTCCATTTCTATGATCTGAGACACGCTGAGCGAGCGTTGAGAGAAATACGAAACCAGCACATTCAACGGCAAAAACAACAAGCCATGGCTGGGTCAGCCGGACACGAACCAGGGGAGTCCGACGCGTGTACTCCACTGCCTCCTCCAGAGCGTGGACGGATATTGGGGGGAACCGTTTGGGCCCACTTCATTATCCCGGCCAGTAATGCTTCGCCTGACGGGAATAATCAGGGAACTGTTGTCGTCTTCAATTTACACCCCGGCGTTTCAAATTCTGAACTCAGAGACATTTTCCAAGCTTATGGTAAGCTTTTGAATTTTCCCTTTTGATAAAATGCAGTCAAGCATGACGGGTTTAATTGTAACATAAGGTGCCTTGTTTTGTAAATTTTGTGAATAGGTCCCGTGAAGGAACTGAGAGAAACGCCATTGAAGAAGCACCAGAAGTTCGTGGAGTTTTACGATGTAAGAGACGCAGCTAAAGCTTTAAGAGAAATGAATGGAAAAGAAGTCAATGGGAAACAAGTTGTAATTGAATTCAGTCGACCCGGAGGATATAGCAGAAAGTTCTTCAATGCAAACTCTGCCGGCAGCATTACGCCTATCAAAGCTTACACTCATAATATTTCATTGAAACCCAGTAAATATACTCACCCGCCGCTGTCGGCGCCGCCGATAGCTCCTAGATTCTCTAACAGATATTCTCCCAACATCCCTCGCTCGTTTCTTTCTCGAAGCCAATCGCCGTCCAAGAAAGTGACTGATTCTAGCAAGGGAAACCCTAATGACAATTACAAGAACATGAGCTCAGCTGGAATGACGGTCATCGGTGGCGGTGCTGCTGCTAAGAAGACGGCGAAGAAGAGCCAAAACAACCAGTCGACGCAGAGGATTAGCAATGGGGCTAAGCAGCAGTGTAGGGGAAGGCCATGGAAAGACAAACAAGAGAGGAAATTCGATCCTCGTTTCTTAATAAGCGAAGAAGCCATGGCGGAATCTAATTGCCAAGATTCAAGGACCACTGTCATGATTAAGAACATACCAAATAAATATAGGTTTGTCCTTTTCACCAACTCTTTTTACTTGAATAGAAAAAAAGTAACATTTTTTGCTTTTAATTTTGGCATTTTTAAGTCAAAATTTGTTATTGAACATGCTGGACAATCACTGTATTCACTGCAACGAGCAAATTGTCAACGCCGGCGACGACCAGCCTTTATCTTCCTACGATTTCGTCTACCTCCCCATTGATTTCAAGTAATTTTCTTCCTTTCCCATTTCCCTAGAATTTGTAGATGGAAATCAAACAAATTTACTGATAGTTTCATTGAAAAATCCAGCAATAAGTGTAATGTGGGATATGGATTTGTGAACATGACATCCCCTCAAGCAACTTGGAGAATTTACAAGGCTTTCCATCATCAACACTGGGAAGTGTTCAACTCCAGGAAAATCTGTGAAGTAACTTATGCCAGAGTTCAGGTTTTTAAAATTTTTGAAGTTTTTCTCTCTTGGTATTGGATCAAGAACAATAGCTTTAAATGGTTCTAATTTGATTATGAATGGATGAAAATAGGGATTGCAGACGCTGAAAGAACATTTCAGGTACTCCAAGTTCCCATGCGATATGGATCACTATCTTCCGGTAGTTTTCTCCCCGCCTCGAGACGGGAAGCTACTGACCGAACCAGTTCCCGTGGTTGGCGAAAAGCAGCAGCCGAGGCTTATCAATGACGGTCCCTCGCCGGCACCTGACGACGAACAAAGCGATAGCGTTGACGAGACTTCTAGTGAAGGTAACCCGCCCGAAGGTTGTGGCGGTAGAGAAAATAATAACGCTTCCATCACCCCTCTTTTCGGCGATGTTGGCAGTGACACCCTGAACTGAAACTATAATCTCTTTCCTTTTTGTGTCTTTTTACTAGTTTGCATGGAGAGCAGTCGTGGAGATTTGAATGAAATGCAAATATAATAGTATTAAGTTTTTGTTGTAACCAAGACAAATGTTCATTCTCACAGTTTACAGCTGTTATTTTGGGTGTTAAAAATGGCCGGCGGGGTTCATGTTGATCACCGGGCCTTTCATTTAGTTTCCCAAACGCACCGCCAGCTTAGGGCGCATTCTGTCTCTGATGAACTGGGGCCGCCCGCCATCACATCCATTTACTGCTCTCATCACCTCATCTCTGTCCATCCATGATCTTTTTCCCTCTAGTATGCTTGTACTTTTTCATGAGGCTTAGTTGAACAAGAAGCATTGAAATTTTATATTTCAAAGTGTTAGAATTATTCGTATTCACTTTGATACTTCATTATTATTTCTAGGATAAACTAAAAATGACACCTTAAAGTATCGATCCATACTGTTTTAGCATTAGACTTTTGATTTTAATTCAATTTAATGACTGTATTGCTATCAGCAAATACAATTTGATACCCGATTCCAAAATTGATATAATTTGATACCTGATTCGAAAAATTCAATTTATTTGCCGATTGCAAGGAATTTTAAAAACATAAGATATTAAAATTTTATTTTTAAATTGATATAATTTGATATTTTATTCGAAAAATTCAATTTGATGGCCGATTGTAAGGAATTTAAATATATATATATATATATTAAAATTTTATTTTTTAGATCAAATTATAAAACATATTAATATTGATATGTTGCTTTTTAAAAGAAATGCATTAAAATTTTATATACGTAAAGTCTATGTTTGAGTCCAAGCTAAAATTAAGTTTGAATTTCATGTTAAGTCTAAATTTATGTGGTTGATAATATGATAAATAAGATTGTTACGTTAGTATCGTAAATCGTCACGTCAATAGTGTAACATTTATACGACGATAAATGTTGATCAAAGAGTCATATTGAGTTTATTTTCAGAGTTCATAAAATTATATTAATTAAAGGGTCATATTAAGTTTATTTTTTGAGTTTGAGTGTTACATTAAGAAAAATAATATGAGAATTATACTGATATTTTTAAAGTACAGTACCTTTGCTCTTTTTACCATTTTTATTTGAAGTTGGAATCCAATTTGAGAGTGGTATAAAATGTATAACTATTATGGTTATCGAATCAGGGTGAAGAACAGTGTTTTAAAAATCGGATCAGACCGAATTAATCGATTCAACCGATTTAATCGAGAACAGCTGCCTGTTCCGATTCTGAAAACCATGTTGAAGAATGAAGAGGAGGAACCAAGGGATGAAGGGAAGCGATGGGCAGAAGGCTTTAACAAGACAAGTGTCAGCGTTGGTAATAGTTGTGCAGTAATTTGGGTGTAATCCCCTGCCCTCTATTCTCAGCACGTTAGGCTTTATTTTGTACCTGTGTTTCTTGCCGCACCATATCCTGACACTTTCACTCTCTTTTTCCAACAATTTTTTTATTATATAAAGATAAGTGTTGCACCAACATATCATATTATTCTCCGTACAAAAAATTATTATTATTTTTAAAATTTAAATTTGAGTATTATAGATATTAAAAATATAAATATTTAATTTCGAAAGATTGAAAATTTATCTTTAAATATATAGTATATTGTTATTACACATATTAATAAAAACAAAAAAAGATTACTGTTGTTGATGGTAAAATCAAAGAGAATTCGGGAAATAGTTTGAAGATTTTGAATCCAATTCTGTTCAAAAGTTTATTTGATTTCAATGGTCAAACACTTTTCTGGTCAGACCTTTATGTAATCATGTAAGAAAGGATTAATTATAAAATAAGTGCACAAATTATACCGTTATTTTTAAATAGGTATTGAAACTTTTTTGAAACATCTGTGTTTAACGTTATGAACGTTATCATTTTAGGTGTATGGGATGTAATATATGTTAAAAGATTTCGTCAAATGGCACGTGTCATGCTATGATAATTATTAAAACCCCCTATTTTTTCCCCACTAAAATTATAAAAAAGTCTCAAATCCCTAAAAATTATAAATCCCTAACCCTAACCTCTCTTATTAACCACGACCGTTGTTGTCAACGTCACCCTTGCTATCTCTCTGGTCAACTCCCTTGCCATCGTACATGTCGTTGGATCGTCTTAGTATCGCGAATTTGAGGGTTTGAATCTGTCAGAGATATAGTTTTGGGTTGCGATTTTACCGTTTCCTTCATCGAAGATTTGGAGTTTATGATCGGATTTGACTTGTCATAGGGTGGAGGTTCTAATTGAGGTCCGATCGACGTCAAACAATGAAGACCAACGTTGGTTTATGGATTAAAATTAGAGTTTTCATAGTTTTGAGGGTTTTTTTAAAGTTTTTCAAAATTTTTGGGTTATTATAAATATATATAATTTAAATATTTTTAAATAAAATTTTAAAATTATCATAATGTAAAATTTAACAGCTGTTATGATCCATATACTTAAAATGGTAATGTCTATAATGTTAGACACCTAGATAATTCAAAAAAAATTGGGTATCTATTTTAAAAAATGTTATAATTTAGTCACTTATTTATAACTAAGCCTAAAAATATATAGTTAGAAAATAAACATATTAACAACAGGTTCAGCCGAGAACTTTTACCCCTACAATCAAAAAATAATTATTGATGATGACGGCTGGAAACTCAAATAGACTTTACATATTTATTTATCATTTATTTACTAAAGATACAACAATTATTTTTTAAATAATTTAATTTTCAAAATTTATCAAATTATCTAGTAGAAAATATTTTCTCTTAAAAGTTTTGAATTCGAGCAACTGTGTCTGTTATATGCGTACACATTATCAATAGATTTATGAAATTCTTAGTAAATACTAACTTATGATCGTTCCAGACTATTCATCGTAATAATAATATAGTTTTCAAATTTTAAATCTTTTTTTTTCTTTACGGATGTAATGGAATTATAACAACACTAAGGCTTAGTTTGTTTTCATTGTGCAACATCTTCAAACTTCTTATGTCTGCGCCGCGCAGACCACGCGCAGACATTAGGCTTCGCAGACAGTTTGTTTTTTTAGAAGAAATAAGCTCTTCAAACATCTGCGCGAGCTCTTATTGGTGCATACATAGTTTTATGTCTTCAAAGGTCTGCGGGAAAATTAAAATCATTTAAATCTATTTTAGAATTTATTTTAAAATATACATTGATTTATCTTAAAATATGGATTGATTTATTTTAAAATATGGATTGATTTATTTTAAAATATGGATTGATTTATTTTAAAATATGGATTGATTTATTTTAAAATATATATTGATTTATTTTAAAATATGAAAAAATTTATTTTAAAATATGGAAAAATTTATTTTAAAATATGGATTGAATTATTTTAAAATATGGATTGATTTATTTTAAAATATGGATTGATTTATTTTAAAATATGGATTGATTTATTTTAAAATATGGAAAAATTTATTTTAAAATATGGATTGATTTATTTTAAAATATGATTGATTTATTTTAAAATATGGATTGATTTAGTTTAAACTATGGATTGATTTATTTTAAAATATGGATTGATTTATTTTAAAATATGGATTGATTTATTTTAAAATATGGATTGATTTATTTTAAAAAATGGATTGATTTATTTTAAAATATAGATTGATTTATTTTAAAATATAGATTGATTTATTTTAAAATATGAAAAAATTTATTTTAAAATATGGAAAAATTTATTTTAAAATATGGATTGAATTATTTTAAAATATGGATTGATTTATTTTAAAATATAGATTGATTTATTTTAAAATATGGATTGATTTATTTTAAAATGGAAAAATTTATTTTAAAATATGGATTGATTTATTTTAAAATATGATTGATTTATTTTAAAATATGGATTGATTTAATTTAAAATATGAATTGATTTATTTTAAAAAAATTATTATTGTAGTTGTATGGATTATTTAAATTTCAGTATTATAAAACTAAAATTATTTAAATTTCAGTATTGCAAAATTCTTTTAAGTTAAAAAAATCAGTTTATTTTAGCAGTCTGCAGACGTTAAAAAACAAACGGTCTTCTTCTTACAGACTGCAAACTTTTGGTCCACCTCTTCTACTGCAGATGTGGTCCGCAGACTGCAGACATTTTACCTCTTCAAAAACAAACATCACCTAACACTTTTTAGTAAAAGATTACTATGCTCCATAGACATTTTCTTTATATATATATATAGAGAGAGAGAGAAGGTTTGCGTGTTTAAAGTTAAAACCAAGATTAACCCTAATTATTAATGTAAGCTTCATTAACCCTAAAATAAGAGTTGATGAGTTTTTTGCCCTTTCTAAAGTGTAGCTGTTGCAATAACCAAGAATGCATGGTCGAGAACAGTTTTAATTAAGAACCAGGACTTTGTTTTTTCTTCAAAAATTGGATTGATATTTAAATATTTCATATTAATATATAGCAACGATAATTTTTTGATTAATATAGGGTAATTACAAAATAATATATGTTTACAGATAATTCTCAATCAATTAACATTGGACGCTCACATCTTTGACATTCATAATACTCGAACATGAGACATAAAAGAATAACCACAATTTATCACATGTAACATTAAATTTAATAAACACTTTATAAAAAAGAATTAAAACTTGTCAACTTAGTTGGTGAGTTTACATAAAAATCTCAGGCAATAAACACCAAAGCTATTAGCTAAATCTTAACAACCAGGGGCGGACTCAGGACAAAAATTCAGGGGTTACAAGAGTTCCAGTGATGGCATTTTTTAGGGGTGACACTCGTATTAGGGATAGCACTTGTGGAGGGGTTGCCTGGGATACCCCAGGCACCATGGAGGTTCGCCCCTGGATTAGGGGTTGCCTGGGATACCCCGGGCACCATGGAGTTCCGCCCTGTTAACAACATCAAGCCATATAGGCATTTTCATAAAACAAACTCCTAAGCCTTAATTTGAAACAACGTGAAAAGGGGAAAAAAGTGTTTAATAAGATATTTAATTGATCCTCGAATTTAATCTAATTGATTCATATAATTATTTTAAGATCGCGATATTTAACAGGTCGAAGGTTCAAATCTCGACACATGTGACTTTGAAAAGAATTATGATTCTATAAACATTTACAAATGAAAATCATCAGAAGAAGAACCTGACAAAACATTAACCATAATCTGCATAACCTTGACCCTCATCTGCAGAGCCAATATATATTCAGCCGTGTCCCTAAACAGCCCGTCCAGCCCCGTTGAGTCGTTGCTGGGAATCAACCTCTTTAGGGTTTTCACCTTCTTTTCGATAGGGTTGACGACGAGTCTTCTAGAACCTTCTCGAACTGCCCTCGTCTTCATCGGGACACTTGTGGTTCGGGACGTTCTTGGCCTCTTCGTCGTCAAAAACCTTCTCCCGGCCTTTGCTTCGGTGCCGGACCTTCTCAGCTCGTTGCTTCGGGTTTCGGTCGGAATTCCCATGATATCAGATAATCAAAATTTCTCTGTTGAGATGCGATGAGAGAACATTACGGATAATGAGAGGTTTTTATATGGTTTGGAAGTGGATAATTTGTAATAATTTAATGACAGCCTAAAAGAGTAGAGAGGTTCATGGAAGGTTTGGAAGCGAATGGGGTGGATGAATGAGAGAGAGCCAAGTGTTCATATGGGGCTGCTTTGGGCATGTTCTCCAACTCCATGCACATGCAACCACATGATTCCACCACCACCAAACCCTACTCAGGACGGACGGAGTTATGATTTTATATCAAGGGACGAATTTAAATTTATAAAATTTTAAGTGATGAAAATAGTTTTTTAACAAAAAAATATAGAAAAAAATCTGAAATATTATACGATGATTTTAAATTTTCAAGTGTGACGAATGTCCTTACCCGTCTCTCCCCTGTCTATGGCTAACCTAACCCTAACCTCCTTCACTAAAACCACCTCTGAACCTCATCACAACACCCTGGATTATCCCTCCCCCACTTCCCAAATTCAATGCATACATGATTCGAATTTGGGGACCTCAATTCCCTCTATCCAGCTCAACCAACATTGGCATCATTCCACGTTCATAAAACATGATATTTTCTATTTTATAATTCATAATTATATTTAGATATTCGAATTCGAAATACACTAATATGAAATTAAATAATAAATCCATAAAACAGATCGAGTATCCACAAATACCCGAGTTCACAATTTGAATTGTTAATTTTAAACCTAACACAAATACAATTCAACTCGAAAAATTTAAGAAAAACAAAGAACTTCCATTTATATCTTGTTTCATGGTGGTTAGCTCATGTTTTCCAGACAGGAAGCCCTAGGGTATAAATCATGAAGGAATTAAGATTGCAGCTTGTCAATGTATGTGTAAACAAAACAGTAGACAATTTAGATCTTCATGTTGGGATAAGGTAACTTTTCATATGACATTCATGGAGTACATTTTTTCATTAAAAAAATATGATTGTTTTTTTCTTAAGGAATTAAGTATTTAAACGATCATGTTCGAACATGTTCTGAAACCAAAAATGGAAAAATACAAATGAAAAGCTGAGATATTGAAGCAGACAAATATTGGGGGTCAAAGATGCATGCATCAATGAACGGCGGTCGATGTTGTACACGACATTCTCAACCTTTAGACATCGAATGTTCTCTTTGCTTTCATTTCTCGTAAACCCAAAAATTTAAATCTTAAATAGAAGGCTTAAGGATTATTTCTACCTCTGTAATAGACCTAATTTATTATCTTCTTTCCTTTCTTATCTTTGCATCAATTTAGCCCTCAAAATTGTTTAATTACATCATTATATACCATACCCTTAACTTAAAACCATAAACCCCTAACATCTAAACCAGAAATCCAAAATATTCAATAGTAAATATTTTAAACATTGATGCAATTGAGCACTTTAAAGACTAAATTGATATGAAAATATGATATGATGAAAATGATAAATCAAATCTACTACAGGAAAAAAATTACTCTTGTTCCTAATAATATACTATGTTCAAATAGATAAGATTTATGAAATTTTAATTTTTGTTTCTAAAAATAATAAAAAAATATAATACATATATAATTTATATATGTAATATAGGCGAAGGCCTTCTGATTTTCTAATGAAATCTCCAACAACAGTGTAATGTTCACTGTAGCATATAATTGTACACATTTTGATGTTATTTATATTTATTTAATATGGTTACCAATTGTATTTCATATTTTATCCTGTGAATTAGAATATTTTCGATCCATATATGTAAATAATTTATTACAAAGTACTAAAATCAACAGAACAACTTATTAAAATATGAATCATAAACTAACTTAAAATTCGTTCAAAAGTCATCAAGATGAATTAATCTCTGATTTAGAATTATAGTTAAAATAAGCAAAGAGCTTTGGCACATGGATGAATCTCTGCCACATGAATAATTGATTATATTATATGTGCGTATTGATTGGTTATCCATTAAACTTTGCTAAGAAATGCTAACAGTAGAAACATGTTACATTTCCACATGCTTTGCCACCGGTCGTTAGCTTATTATTTTTTTAAGTCAACAGTCATACAGTAAATTGGATCATTTTTAATTTCAATCATTTTATTTAACCATTTTTTTCCCGTTTTCATCTGCTTTTACGACGCGTTTTTCTCTTTCTTTTGATACGTTTTCGGTCGTTTGAATATTGTTCTGTATTTATCGTTTTTAAGGGTTGATTCGACACCGACACGACTGATCAAGATGACGCTTATCTGGTATCATATTGATATTCTCTACTTTGAACCATTGGATTGGATTTACATTCGTTGATAACTTTTACATGTCGTTGAACTCTGGTTTGTGGATTTATTTGTGGTCTTTCAATAGTTTGATCTCTTTTATAGTTCGTTTGACGATGCAATTAGATCTGTTTGTATCTATCATTGTTCTAGTTTTAGTTATATTTTTTAATATTTCCTTGTATGATCCTTATGTGATCTTAAGTTTCTAATTTTGTATCAATAATTTTAGGAAAATATTCAAATTATGTGTTTAATGTACTATTATGATTGTAAATCTCAATTGTAATTTGAGATTTTTTTAATAAAATTAATGATTTCTATATAAAAGGATCGAATATTATTATTTATAATTAATATTAAGTGAAAGGGAAACCCTAAATCCCTAAGGGAGTATTTGGTTCAAGGAACGTGGGATTCCCATCATGTTTGGTTGGCCGGGAATCTCATTCCCGGTAATGTTTTATTACAAATAGTAGATTTTTTTGGGTATATTACCGGGAATGTCATTACTTCCCTTCCCTTAGGTATTGTACATTACCGGCATTTTGGACTAAAATGCCCTTAATTTTTTATTTTTTTTCAAAAATATAATTCTTCTGTCATTGAATAATAAAATTCTACGAAGGTTAAATTACAAATTTATCCTTAAATTATTTTAGATTTACAAAAAAAATCTATAATTAAAATTTTATATGAAGTTGAGGGGTTAAAAAATTTACCCTTTCATTAAACATTTTTTATATTTTTAATTTTGTAAAAAAAATTATATAAATATTATGAATTTAATTTTTTAAAGAAAATATATAAATATTTTACAATTTGTAATATTATACAAATATAATAAGGACAATTTGATCAAATATACATTCTAATAATCTTTTATTCCTTTAACCAAACACGGTAATCTTACATTCCTGCTAAACCAACCAAACACAAAATACAACATTCCCAGTAATCCTATTCCCTGATAATCTTTTATTCTCACTGGTAATCTTTTATTCCCACTGGTAATCTTTTATTCCTACTGGTAATCTTATATTTCGTGAACCAAACGCACCTTAAGCGATTTAGGGTTTAGGCACGATGTTGGCATTACAAAGAAAGCCCTTCCATGTGCAGTAAATGATAGTTTAAGTGGAAGCCAACGACAACGGTGGGCCTTCCTTGGCCCATCAAAGTTGTTCTCCTCTGCGCCCATGTTCTCCATGTGCTCTCAGCTCTATTTTTAATATTTTAAGTTTGATTTTCACTTTGTATTATGATAAGATTATTTGTAGCTTCTTAATTTAAATTTTTCAAAAGTTGATTAATGAATATAAAAAAATAAATGAAATATAAAATATAAAATATAAAAATTGATTAAAAAATAATATGTGTAATACATGTTGAATACACACACATATCATAGATATATGTGTTATGAAATGATTTAGACGAAACAATAAGAAGAAAATGAAGAAGAAGGGATATAAGAATAAAGGGAGAAAATTATATTATTATCTCAAAATGAGTTATGTACAATGCTTTCTCTAAACTCCATAATTATAAGTATAAAGAATAGATATCATATATAACTCTAACTCTAATGGATATTGAAGTCCTAATAATAAAGTATATCAAAACCGTATCTTATAGGTAGAGATACATCCACATAAATAAATATTCATAACACTCCCCCCTTGGATGTCTATGAAACTAATGTGCCTCATTAAAACCTTATTAAGATAAAAATCCTAAGAGAAAAAATCTTAATGAAGGAAAAAAAGTACATATATATTTAATATGCATATCATGTTGCCGCACTAAAAACCTTACCAGGAAAATCCAGTGGCTCAAAACCTTATGATGGCAATCTTGAATAAGGTCTTTGAGTATTACAACTGATAAGGTCTTTGAGTATTACAACTCAATCTTGAATACAATCTTCAAATGTTCAAGTAAACAATACATCAATGAATATATATTTTCAAATTACCACTTGAACGGATTCGTCAAATATTTATATTACTCTTATTTTGAAGATCATGAAGGAGGAAACTTTAGAAAAATATATTTCCTTTATTGTATTATTTTTCAAATGATCTAATTTAAGTACTTGATTTATAGGTCGAGACAAAACTTGATTTCAAGATTGTTTATCTCAAATATTCTTTTAAACAATCAAGATACTTTTGAAACTCTTCAAGAATTATATTTTAAAACTACTCGGGAGTTACAATATCATAATTTGATCTTGATATCTTTATAAAAAATGAGCAAGTAGGCTCTTATCGATTCAAATATAACATAAACAATAATAATGATTCCATTCTATCTAAATATTTAAGCAAACGTATTTTTACAAATTTTCAAAAAGTTTTTAAATGTTACTAACATTTTAATCCTTCAAGGATAAATATCACTATATATTGATAAATGAATCATTAGACGCATCATAGAGTTTTACCATACTGCTAGAGAAATAAAGTAATTACATCCACCATGAAGTATAAATCTTTATGATTTAAGTCGTATTATATATGTCACGAATACTCATTTATAACTTACTGGCATTACACCTTTAAGTGTTTGGATTACTTGTTTATGTTTTGGAAGTTGATTTAATTTCACTTGAATAATGTCTTCCCATTTTGACCAATTATTTTCACATCTATACTCTAGGGTAGATTT